GAGAAAAATTAGAGAAAATCCAAAATAAGAGATCAGATCAGAATAAAAATCTAGAAAAATCGGGAAAGACAAAAGAAATTTTCTAGTGCAGTACCCTTCGGTTCCAAGATCATTCCGAAATATGATGCCAGGAATGTGAGAAAATAAATCTAAAATAGGTATGCGTGTCGTTGTCTTCGCTCATGTCCGATGTAACTCCGCAGCAAGTGGATGCGGTGCATGGGGTCGACGCTGCGGGGTGTGCTGGCGCACCCGCTGTGCCCGTCGAAGGCCTGGCTGGCGCGCTACTTCGCCATGGTCATGATCGGCATCCTCTTCATCGGCACTGCCATCCTCGTCATCGGTGGCAACGGCTGGTTCCAGATCGTCTCCGCCGTGGTGGTCGCGCAGGTGAGTGTCGTCAAGTCGCGGCGAGGTATAGTCCGCGGCGTATCTTCAGCGGCGTTCTCCGTGCTTCGCGCTCCGTCCCGCCAATTTCCGTCTGACGTCGCCGCCGTCTCCGTCCATGCCCGCAGCTGGTGGGCATCTTCCTCAATAAGGCCACCTCGCTGCCGCCGCTGCTGGGCATGCTCATCGTGGGCTTCTGCGTCCGGCAGCTCGGCTACATCGAGTACTTCAGCGCCCGGCACGAGGCGCTCATCTACATCGCCAGGTGCGTCGAGACGATTGTTTCGATAACGTTTTTATGACCGACACCTCAAAACGATGACGTTTTTCGTAATCGATATCATGAAACGATGACGTTTTCTGGTCGATAGATCGAATCGAAACAATAACGCTGGTTTATGGTTTCGATAGGTCGTGGGCGCTGGTCGTGCTCATGCTGCGCACGGGCTTCCACCTGGACTCGGACGGCGCGCGCCGGCCCTCGCCCATGATGGTGGGGCTGGCCATCGTGCCCGGGGTGGTGGAGTTCGGCTGCGTGGCCGCGCTCGCCGTCTGCGTGCTCGACATGCCCGTGCCCTTCGCCCTGCTGTCCGGCATCATCATGGCGGCCGCCTGCCCCTCCATCCTCATGCCCTGCTTCTCCATGATGGGCGCGGGGCGCAGCGTCAAGGCGGTGCTCGTGGCCGTCGCCTGCCTCAACGACATGCTCGTCATCGTGGCCTTCGGCATCGTCATGGCCATCATCTTCTCGTTCGCCGGTGAGTGACTGACTCCTCCTCCCCGATATCGCTCGCCTCGTCCCGGTGCACTTTGCCTGACCAGGCCGCCGTCCTCCCCCAGGTGACTCGCTGCCGTACGTGCTGCTGCACCGCATCATGGGCGTCGGCTGCGGCTTGCTGCTCGGCGTCGTGTTCGGCGTCTTCATCCGCTACGTCCCGGACCGCTTCGACGTGAGACCCCAGCGTCGCGTGTCCGGCAAACGCGTGAAAATGGAGTTGTTTTCGAACCCCTCTGTTTCTGTCCCCTCCAGCCGCATGTCATGACCATCCGCTCGCTGATGATGGGCTCCGTGGGACTGTTCTCCATGCTGGGCTTCGCCAAGATCGGCTTCTTCGGCGGCGGCCCCGCGGCCTGCATCGTGACGGCCTACGTGGCCAGCAGGGGCTGGCGGCCGCAGGGCTGGGGGCCCGACTACCGCGGGGTGCGTGTCAGCGGGGGGTGCAAATCATCGTGGGGGACCACCACTGGAGTCCAAAGGGACCCGCGTAGGGACCCCGCGATATTTGTACGCGGCGGTGTGCAATTATCACGGGGACCCACCACCAGTAGCGTTCATAAGGACACCATGGTATTTGTACCCCGAGGTACAAATATTTTATGGTACTTATCGTGACTGAGGATCCCGGTGCTCCGTACCCTGCCGTCGCTGCTAAAGTTTTTTTTTTTTTTTTCCCCAGAACCCCGTAGCCACCGTCTTCGACGTACTGTGGCGGATCATGCAGCCCGTCATGTTCTGCCTCATGGGGGCCGACCTGGAGATCGACAAGACGAGCTACACGATGGAGAAGCTGCTGTGGAGCGTCGGGGTGCTCCTCTTCGTGTGGCTGGTAGGGAGGGGGAAGGCCGGGGAGGGCGCCCCAGGCGGCGCGGAGGACAGAGTCGGACAGCCTGGGGGGTAGGCAACGTGTCGATCCTCCATGCACGTCGGTCGAGTTGGCGGCCTATCCTACGATGGTTAGGCGCTCGCTAAGGCCGCCCTCGGGTGAACTTTCATCTTCCTTTCCGTAGGTAGAGGGTGGATGGGGTGTAAGTGTCTGGCAAAGGTATAATTTTGAGGGTGTAAAATCATAAACCCGCCCAGAAAGTAAGATACATTCTTGATGGATTTTCGTTGAAGTGCGGTTTAGATGTTTGTGCCCTGAAGAGGGTGTGACTGTGACTGCTCTATATTTCGCAGCGCCGTTGTCGCGCCGATAAGGCTGCTCGGCGTAATGGCCGATTAGCCAGCCGATTAGCATTGCGCGGTCGTGTTGTGTTACAGGTTCGCATCGTGGTGTCGCTGGCGGTGACGGCATACGGGGACCTCAGCATCAAGGAGCGATTGTACGTGACGCTGGCCTGGGTGCCCAAGGCGGGGGTCCAGGTGCGTTGTTTGGTAGGGATTTCAAAATCCGAAAATATTCTAAAAAAGTGAGAAACTTTTACGTGAAAATTTTGAAAAAATCAAATATTGACAGGCAAATTTGAAAAGAAATAAGAAACTGTAAGGGAAAAATTTCAGACATTTTTTTAAAAATGTTTTCTGTCACGTAAGTGTGTATTCGATGATTTCCTCCAGGCTGCGCTGTGCCCGCTGGCCCTGGACCAGGCGCGCTACCGCGGCGACACGGGCGACATCCTGCGCCACTCGCGCGACGTGATGCTGTTCGTGCTGCTGGCCGTGGTCATCACGGCGCCGCTGTCGGCCGCGCTGCTGTCGCGCCGGGGGCTCGTCAACGTCCTGCTGCCCGCGCGCCGCATCAGCACCGTGAGCGGCGTGAGCCGCCAGGGGCTGCAGCAGGCACCGCAGGCGCAGCAGGCGCAGCAGGCGCAGCAGGCGCAGCAGGCGTAGCAGGTGCAGCAGGTGCAGTGGGTGCAGCAGGCGCAGCAGGCACCGCAGGTGCAGTCATAGGGTCTCTGAGGGACGCTAATTTAGCGCAGGCCACTTCAAAGATAAAGAGGCGACGTGTGAGTGAGACCATCTCCGAAGTCCGTTTCGACAAATTCGTCCGCCGGCCGCGTGCCAGCCCATCATCGCCGCGCTCGAACGGAGGCAGATTCGGGAGCTTCCGGCTCAGCTTCAGCCAAATGAACGCTATAACGGCGACAGAATCAGGTCGTTTAGCCATTATCGGCCGTAATTTCCCACATTCCTACATTGTCAGTAATTGTCGTATATGTATACAAATGTTTGTTGTCAATAATTCTATTATGGTCCGTTATGTATAACATCCAGATGTGCGTGAGCTCTTTTAAATTGTGACATTTTGACATGACTGTAGACAAATATTACAAAAAAGAAACAAATAAATAAAATTATGACAATCGTGTTGTGTATGATGATCTATACAAGTTTGTCTTTTCTTTGGTCCCTGAAAATTAAGAAAATATATTTGTTGTTGCAGCAGAAACTGTGTCCGTCATTAGCAGTGGCCGAACTGCCAAGTTCACGGTTCAGGTTGTAACTACAGAGTCCAAATTCGGAGTGGGATCTTACTTCAGGAATACCCTTTATATGCAAAACAAAAACCTAAATCGGTTCCCGATCCGCAATCTTGGGTCAATTAGGTAATGATGACTCTTTAAGCCCCACCCCTTACCTATTTCCTTCCTGCGCGCACGTTATCTCCCGTGCTGAGACACGCGCTGAAAGTGGAATTCCCTCCTATGGTCCTAATCTTATTCTTCATTCATTATAACAGTAATAATCTAATCTATAATATTTTTATAATCTTATAATCATTCCACAATCTTTTTCATTTCATAATCATTCTATGTATCTTATAATCACGCTATGATCCTTATAATCTATACTCAAAAGTACACAGCTGAGGAGAGTTGAAGACCCCTCACTTCAGGGGGTAAGCAGAAGGCAAGGATCTGTTCTGTACATATAATCCCTGAAAAGCCGAACAGCCGTGGACGCAACTAAACTAACACAATGTCACCCCCTCCCCCTCAAAAAAAAACACAAAAAAAAACACCTAAGGTGCTTACGGATGAATATTGCGAACAACCGCTCCAGTAGACAAGCGGCAAGCTAATCCACGCTTTCAAATCTCGATCGCAAGTGGCAAACAAATAATTTTTAAAAAATGAATTAACGTGGCCCCTCTCCTCCTCCCCACCCCGCTACCCGCCGCGCCACCTGTCGGAGGCGCGGCGAGGCATTTCAGAAGACAACTAAACGTAAATAAATAAACAGTGACAATCGACCCAAATTTTTCATAGGATATTACTATGATTTTTAGGGTGGACGACGTAGATTTTTGATATTAATCTGAAGGGATAGTGATTCATGGTTTCCGGAATATTGAATGTTCAGATCATTGTAGGAGGTTAGTGTGCTCCGATATAGCTCAATTTTTACACACACAAGTTGTAAGTTATTTTGAGGCTGAGTAAATAATGCCCGTTATGTAAACTTTGCTCACTGTAAACTTTTTTGAAAAGGTGTTGAATGGGTATACTCCTCCCTTCTATGCAGTTGTTAAATACTGTTGTATGTCTGGGTGTACTGTCAATGAATGTGTTATCATAACTTAGTTATGCATATTCATTTGCTTCAGTACAGTGCCATATTAGTTATTTGAAAGACCATGGTCATTTAGAGCATGGGGAGAGAGGCATTTAAAAGTGTGTTGTATGAGTAAATTATATGTAATTAAAATAAGTTGACGATTGTTGAGTATAATGAAAGCAAGCTTTAAAAAAGTAACGCTACTAGTACCGTTTAATATGATTGCAGGAACACGACCCGGAAATGTTTTTGACATGAGCAAGAGAAGTCTATGGAGTCATTTTACCCAAAAGAATAGGTGAGTTGACATGACAGTAACTGCCAACGCTGGTCCAATTTGTCTCTGTACAGACACTGTGAGGAGCTTCCTTTCATGTGCATCAAAGGGTGGTTTTTGATGTTTTTTGTGGTGCCTTGGTTCTTTGTTGTCGATTTCAATCCTCCTCTGTCAAAATCCAGGCTGATTTGTTATCATTGAAAATGTCTTTTAAAAGTCTTGACAATTTGGAAAATTGCTGGCATTGGTTTGGATTAGTCGGGCAAACTCCCTTTTCAGTTGCTCTGTCTAAATATCATGGTGCCGACCCACTACAGCAGAGTTCTTAGCCAGTGCCCCTTAGGTAGCCTACCGCCCATACTAAGAGGCACCAGCTCTTAAAACTCAAGTTTCTGTGAACAGGATTGGTTTCTGACAGAAGCAAAGATAGTTTTGTGGTCCCTGGCTCACCCCTATCTATTCAAGTACTCCTCTGTTAAAAACCGGACCCATGCCTTTGTAAATTTTGCCAAAAATGAAAAATTTGAAATCGCTGGAAATGGCTAGGATTGGTCCTTTCAATCTCTGCGTCGAAGTTTCACCCCCCGGTCCATTTCAAGTGAGTTATGCCTGTTTTTCTTGGACCGGTTCGCCTGTGAGATAGGCAGCCCATCGTACGCTGACCGCCAGATTAGCCCACCCTTAAAACGCAAGTTTCTGTGGACAGGGGTGGTTTCTGACGGAACCAAAGGTAGTTTTGTGGTCCACTGGGTCACCTCTGCCTCTGCCGTTTCGACTACTTTTCCGTCAGAATCCGGACCCATCTCTTTTCGCTAAAAACAGAAATGCTATTTTTGCCTTTGTAAATTTGGCCAAAAATTATAACCGCCGGAAATAGTTGGAATTGGTCAGACAGAATCCTCTTTCAATCTCTGCGGCGAAGTTTTACGGCGCCGGGCCATTTTAAGTGAGATACGCCTATTTTTTTTGTATTTTTTTTTTGTCTGGTTCGCCTGCGAGGTAGGCAGCCCATCGTACGCTGACCGCCAGATTCAAAAGACCACCCCTTAAAACTCAAGTTTCTCTGGACAGGGGTGGTTT